AACGCGATATTGCCTAAGGGTCAGTGAACTACGGCTCAGTGTAGTAAATGCCATTCCATCTGAAAGCAGGTGATGGAGATTTACTACTAATCACGGAACCGGCTTTACTGACAAGATGCGCATGACAATTGCATGCGATTAATTGCACAGCCCTAGGAGGACGTTCCCCTTTCTGTGGCACTCCCTGTCATGGGTGTCGCCATTTGGTGTGTGTGGGCAGCACACACCATCCCTGAACCCTCGGACTTCTCAAAATTCCCTCCCACCCTCCCTTCAGCTCCACCTCTTCACCAGTCCTCACCATCGCCTCCGCTGTCTTCTGTCAGCCCCTCTGCTCACCCTCAGCCCACTATCAGTGATGTGGGTCTGCCAGTTTCCATCGGCATCGTGGCTGGAGGATCTCTTGTCTCCACCTCCAGCCTCTGAGTCCCAGACTCCGCCTCGGCCCGTTGACCCAGTGGCTCCACCATGGCTCCTAGCTCCCTCCTCTCTGCCATGGCCCGTCAGTCCACCAGTTCCGCCGGGCTCCCTCGTCCCTCCGACTCCGCCTTGGTCAGTCTTCGACCCGCCATCGCCTCAGGACTCCACTCCTCCGGCTGTACCTCGTCGATCCGTCCCACCGGCTCCGTTGGGCTCCTCCCTCCCTCCAGCTCCACCTTGGTCCTCTGTCGCTCCAGCTCCACCACGCCCTTCCGGATCCCCACCTACGCCCTGGCTCTACGGCTCTCCGTCTCCGCCCCAGAATACTCTCCCACCTACTCCGCTGCTGTAGGTCAGCTCCCTGGAGTCGTCATCCCTTCCTCCACCATGGCTCCTCCCTCCATCGGCTCCACCGTGGGCTGCATTCATGGCTGCGGTCTGGGTCCCGCCTGGCTCCTCCTGCTCCCTCCTGTCTTCTCCCTAGCTCCTCCCTCCGTCTGATCCGCCCTGGCTCCTCCTGCTCCCTTCTGTCTTCTCCCTGGCTCATTCCTCCGTCCGATCCGCCCTGGCTCCTCCTGCTCCCTCCTGTCTTCTCCCTGGCTCCTCCCTCCGTCTGATCTGCCCTGGCTCCTCCTGTCTCTGTCCTGGCTCCTCCCTCCGTCAACACCGCCCTGGTCATCTGCCTGCATTCCTCCCTGCCCTTTGCCACCGCCTCATCCTCCTCCCAAACCCCCTCCCTCCTTCTACGGCACGAGGTAATGTCTTCCGGGAGGGTGGGAGTACTGCCACAATCATGGACTGTTAGTTTGTTTTCATTTGAGTTCACTGACATAGTTTCTGTCGTCCTTTGATTAGTTCATTTAGTTCACCTGTGTTAGTTAATTATCCTCATTTGGTCTGTGTATTTAAGTTCCTCTGTTTCTCCTTTAGTTTGTCCGGTATTGATGTTATTTTGTTGCGTGTTCCCTTTGCCTTCATGGATTATCATCTTCTTGGATTCTATTAAACTCTTGTGTAGATGACTTTCGTCTTCGTGTGCCCTTCCTCTACAAGTTGCGTGACAGAAACCAAGGAATTGTACTAAATTAAATGTGTTACCACAAGCATCAGTTCGAATTGTGTGAAAATTATAAATAGATGTTTCACACTAGATTGCTGTTTCCCAGCAGTTTGTAGCTGCCATGGAGTTACATTTATATGTATTTACAGGCAATATTAATATATAATTATTTAATATAAAGGAATTTTACTGCTGTTCAAACGTTTAGGATCATTTAGAGTTTTAATGTTTTTAAAAGAATATTCTTACGCTCATCCTGGCTGCATTTATTTGATCAAAAATACTAAAAAAAAAAGATATTGTGAAATATTATTGCAGTTTAAAATAACATATTTCAATATACTTTAAAATATAATTTTTCTGTGATGTAAACCTGAATTTTCATCAGCCGTTACGCCAGTCACATGATCCTTCAGAAATCATTTTAATATGCGGATTTATTATCTATGTTGGAATAAAAAGTTAAAAAGAACAGCATTTATTCAAAATGGAAAGTTTCTACTATCACTTTTTTTTAATCAATTTAATGTCCTTGCTGAATAAAAGTATTATTTTTTTCAAAAAAACAGTGAAAAAAAGTTCTGAACCCAAACTTTTGAACGGTAGTGTATAGTTACAAAAGATTTCTATTTTGAATAAATGTTGTTCTCTTTAACTTTTTATTCATCAAAGAATCCTGTTGCATGTTCAAAAGAAAAAAGAATAATATTTAATAATATTGAAAACTAAAATATGTTGCTAAAAATTTATCCTGTTTTAGTGGGGCCAATAAAAAATGGCAGAGCAAGTAAAAACCAAACTATATTTTCTACACATCATGGCATCTGATATTCATCAAATGAAGTTCAAATGCTGTTTTATTTGGTCATCTCAAGTGTCTGAATCACAGTGATGCTGTACACTGCCAGTAAAGTATGCTAGACTGTAGTTGTCTGCACCGTTTTCCTCAACCTAGCACTCGAAACCGACCAAAATTTAATTCAGCACTAATTTTGTCACTGCATTTGTGCTGTTACCTGATGTCTGCAATTCCATTAGTGAATTGGTCATCATCAGTAGATGCACTTCATTCTTAGTGGGAGTCTGTCCCTCTTTCACTTTTATTTATTTTTTGCTCTTGGTCTATTTTTAAGCTGTTTTCTTGGTCTGTTTTCTATGGGGTTGTCTTGCTCTATTCATTTTACACTGCAGTGGCAAAACACAACAGCGGCTGTGGCATAAGCACTTAACTCACAGCCCCTCTGTGGATTATGCAACTGTGTGTGTGTGTGTGTGTGTGTGCGTGTGTGTGAGAGAGAGAGAGAGCTTGTAGTTTGATGCATAGTCGATGATAGCCGTGTTACTCCTCACAGAGAGGCCAGCTAGTCATCACTGAAACTGAAGAGATGTTTGTCATTCACAAGATGTGCTAGTGAAGCTGATTGACTTTTTTGCTCCTGGAGGGTCTGTGAAACTGAGCAATAAATATCAACCCCCCTTTTTTAAATCAGCATTAAAATAAACAGTGGACAAAAACTAATGGTCAAAAGTTTGAAATAATTCAGATTTAAAAAAATTTTTTAAGAAGCCTCTTATGCTCCCCAAGGCCACATTTATTTGTTTGAAAAATGCAGTAAAAAAGCTTGTTTCTGCCATGGGATAAAAATATATAGGTAACTTATCATTTAAGTCTGACTTTTTATTTTCATCGTTTTTTGTTGTTTTGTCAAATGTTTTTTTTTCTCGCAATTCTGAGAAAAAAAAAACAGAATAATGAGATATAAAAAAAGGCACAATTATCTTATTTATTATTCTGTGGCGGAAAAAAATGAACTGCGAGATGATTCAGCTTTGCATCACAGAAATAAATTGCATTAGTTTCAAATAGAAAACAGTTCATTTAAATTGTAATAATATTTCACAATATTACTGTATTTACTGTATTTTCGATGAAATAAATGCAACCTTAGTGGAAATAAGAATCTTCTTTCAAAAACATTTAAAAACCTTAATTCTTGCAAGCGTTTGAAAGGTAGTGTGTGACCGAGCACACTGCTCATATCAGCATGTGGTGAGATGGAGTCATGTTGTTGTTTAGTAAAGCACCATATGGCTGCTACGAAAGCCTTGTCATACATGAACATAATGAGCTAGTTTTCTTTTGAAATGCTGATATTTGAACTTATGATGTGAACTTGTTTTTAAATTCTAAAATGTCTTTTTTTCTAGAATATGCCCAACGTCAGGGACCATGATGCGTCAGTCTACCTCCGTCTCCAAGGTGACGCTCTTTCTGTGGGAGGCTACGAACACAACCCCATATTCTGGGAGGATGTAAGTTGTAATAACTGTGTTTCCAAATCTGACAGTAAAATAATTTAACTGAGACATAAAAGTTGTTATTCCTTCCATATTTTTGCTGTAGTTGTATGTGATATATTTTCTGTGTTTGATTTGATTTCCACAACCTAGATTTCAGTTCACATATGTGTGATCACACACTGCTCCTGGGAAGTTCCCACTTACAGCTGATTCGATATGCATTCATGTGTGCGTTAACTGGTGTTTCATCAAAGTATTTACAGTATCTTTCTAGTTAGTGATTACAAATGTACCCTAGTGGTCATCGGCTGATATTAATGATTTTAAATTATTATTGGTCGATATTGGATAATTGTGCATGCTAATTTCTGCCTATTTTTACATTTAGATTAACGTTTTCATCTAACAAAGTTGATCTTTATAAACATTTTCTAAATATTATTTATATGTTATTTATACACTATTGTAACATTAATATTTTGAATTAGCTTTTATATTTTCAGTTTTTATTTTAATTTGTTTCAGTAATTTTATGTACTTTATTTTATGATATTTTAATACTAAACTTTTTCAATAAGTTGCCAAGGCAACATTTCTACTTTTAGTTTAAGTTTATATATATATATATATATATACATATATAAGCTTAATAATTTTAATTTACTTTTATTTAACAATAACAACACTGAAACATTTTAATTTAACATAAAATTTATGTCCATCTTTTGGACTACCCTTATAGGTTATTTTTAGTGTGTTTTATTTTTTTATTTCTAAATGTCAGCTCATGGGAAATGCAGTGCATGACACCTGCAGTATCACTTTCAGAAGCCTCTTAATGAACTGCTGTGGTTCATGTAAATGTGCCTGTGTAGGGGTTTCTGTCCAGTATGTCCACAGTATTATTTGAGCCGCTTCATTGAGTTCTGCTTTAATGCGCTTGTGGTTCTGTCTTAATTAATGCCAGTGATCTGGGGGACTGCTGAGGGGGTTTTGATTGTAAAGGTTAGAATATGTATTATATCTAATTCTAATATGGCAAAAGATATGTTTTACATTAGATGTCTCCTTTTAAATCACTTCGTTGTTTCTCAGTTTAGACTTTAAGTTGTAAATGCATTTTAGCCTATACCAGTGTTTTAGTATCATTTATGTACTATTATTATTTTCTATTTTACTATTATTTAGTATCATTGTATACTATTATTACTGTTATTTTAGTTTTATTTGAATTTTAGTTAGTTTTAGTAATTTTGTGTTTTGTCTTAATGTTGTGTGTTGTCATTTTGATATTTTTTTGGTTTATTTTTAATGTCTACATCGTTTTTTTAAGCTTTAGTTTATTAAGTTTTAGTTATTTTAGTACTTCAACTTAAACTAAATGAAAATGAGACGTTGCCTTGGCAACTAACTGAAATTTTTATTGAAAGAATTTTTTTTAATTTTATTTTATTTCAGTTAATGTTTATTTTATTTCAAGTAATGAATATGGGTTTTTAGTGGTTTTAGTTTTAGCTAACAATAATAACCCTGCAACACTTAAAAAAAAAAAAACGGTGGTGAAACAAGTTTTACTCAGAAATTGCTAATAAATGTCAAATAATTACAAAGAAACGGCAAAGAAACGCATTGAATTAAACATGAAATTTTGAAGTAGAAAGACTAAAAAAGTATTTTCTTGTAAAACATACTCCAACAATCTTTCTTTTATGTACAACTTTAATTCTATTTTTTTAGTGTATATACTGCATAGATTTTTTTAAGTATCTGAATTAGTATGCCTTAAACTAAGATAACAGTTTCAAACAGTAGTATGTCACTTGACCTTATTACACATAAATGTGTTTATAAAAATTGTTATTGCACATTTTAATTCGATTTCGTGTAAAAATTCTGTGACATTTTTCAGTCCAATCATATAAGTCAAAAAGGAGATTTAATTGAACTGATATGGTGCTAATACCATTAATATCAAATTCATTTGTTAAGGAAATGTTGCATACTGTGCACAAAATACTGCAGAAATAGTAAACGTATTACTTACTATTGTTCAGTAGTGTGATATTCTATACGCAGCATGTGTGTTTGTGAGTGCTTCTGTCTGCAGATATTCTAGTGTTATAATGTCTGGAGATCAGTTTTTTTACGCTGTCACTCACCTCCCATTTGACCACATTTACACTGTATTGCCTTTGTAATGATCTCCAGCCATCAGTATTCTGTGTGTAACAAAGCTTTCTCATTAAAATCACCCTCTGTCAGCTCACGCTTTCACTAGAGAAAGCAACAGTCATGCTATGAAACAGCAGATCAATATCTTAGGGAAGTGTGAACATTTTGAGAAATGTGTTTGTAGAAACTGCGGCCGTCTGAAACTCTTAATGAGACAGTGTGAAGCCTGGCCGGGTTTTCAGCACATGCAGCCTCTACAGTTTTATTTTTACACTTCAGTCTGCTCCACACCAGCCACATATTCTCTCCATTTTTGCGATCAGCATTTCATCAGCTGTCCGATTGCTCAAACCGTCTGCTGCTGCTTTCCATCCCACGGTTTCGAGTTCATTGACAGTCCCCCTGTGGCAGCGAGAGAAGACAGTGACAAGCAGAGGACTTTGCTTAAATAAAATTACAAATTGAGAAGTTTTCATGGTAGAAGCATGCTTGTTGTGCCAAGAAAGTGAAGTTGGAGTTGTGCAGATGGTGGGAGGAGGTTCAGTCTGCTTTTTATTCTGTAGTGGGAACAAAAAACAAAATTTACGGGGAGGCAGAATTATGAGTTTATATCTTGCATTTCTGTCTTTTGTGAGACTTTTGTGTGATTAAAAATCTTGCAATTACCTTTTTTATCCTGTGGCAGAATCGAGATTCCAAAATTGCTTTTTAAAACTCCAAAGTCAAAGTTTATTTATAAAGCACTTTTTAAAAACAGCAAGTGTTTATCAAAGTGCTGTACACACATAAAATAATAAAAATATCAATGATACAAACAGTCAACAACACAAAAGAAGACAATAAGACACCATAAAGACAATAAAAGAACTATAGAAGACTATAGAAGTAAGTTTTTAGGCTAGATTTAAAGGGGTCATATGATGCTGCTAAAAAGAACATTATTTTGTGTATTTGGTGTAATGAAATGTGTTTATGCGGTTTAAAGTTAAAAAAACACATTATTTTCCACATACT